CAGTTTTTTGATCCATTCGTCTGTTAATGGAAATTTGGGCTGTTTCCAACTCCTTGTAATTGTGAACTGTGCTGCGATGAACACTGGAGCACAGATGGCTGGCTGTGGTTTATTTCTTGCCTCTTGTGGCTATATGCCCAGTAGGGGGATTGCTGGGTTGTATTGATAGCTCAATTTCAACTGTTTTAGAAACCGCCAAATAGATGTCCATAATGGCTGTACAGACCTACAGGTCCACCAGCAGTGGACGAGAGTCACTATATCACCACAGCCTCACCAACACTTGTTACTTTTGATTTTTTTGAATTGGGCTATCTTTGAGGGTATTAGGTGGTATCTCATAGTTGCTTTAATTTGCATTTCTCTTATATAATCTTTCCAAGTATTTTAATTTGCATTTCTCTTATGTAATCTTGCCAAGTATTGTAGATTTTAGTAATAAGGCTTTTGTCTGCTGTGTCATTGCTAAAGATATTTTCCCAGTCTGTGGGCTCTTATTATTCTCTTGGCAAATTCTTTCGATGTACACAGGTGTTTTATCTGCAGTAGATTCCACCTGTCAATTTGTGACTCCTCTGTATTCGCATCCTTCCCTATTTTCGATATCCTGTGCCAAGGTTCTCAGGTTTGTCCCAATTCCCTCATTAATGGTCCAAATAGCTTGGGGTTTTACCTCAAGGTGTGTGATCAGCCTTGAGTTTATTCTTGTGCATGGAGTCAGGTAAGGGTCTTGCTTCAGTTTTCTGCAGGTCCATATCCACTTTTTCCAGCACCACTTATTGAAGAAGGCATCCGTTTCCCATTTGATATTTTGGGGGCCCTTATCAAAATTCAGTTGTCTGTATGCTGATGTTTTTATTTCTGGGTTTTCAGCTCTTTTCCATTGGTCTGAACATCTGTTGTTATACCATTACTATACTCTTTTGTGGCTGTATAATATGAGCTAAAGTCAGGTAGAGCAAGCCCTCCCACTTTGTCCTTCTTGAGTTCTCTGCTATTTCTGGGCTTCTTCCCTCTCCATATTGTTTTCCAATACACTGAAGAAGGATGGATGTATTCATATTGGGATACTATTAAACTTATATAGTGCCTGAGGGCAGAACTGACATCTTTACTATATAGTCTTCTGATC